GAAGGACGTGTGCCAGAGGAGAGATAAACTACTTAAAATTACTTCTGTCGTACTCTAAGGGCTGCCACTTCAAACAAAGGCAGCATACCAACTGTAGGTATCACCTAAATTCAGACCAAGCATGATAGTCACTGTGAATGGAAGATAACACAGTCTTTCCCACTAAACCAGTAGTAACGTTGTCCAACTGCTGGAGGTCTGGGCATCTGGTATAACCATCTGAACACTGACTTTCTGAGCAATTTGCCACCTTTTGCTTCCTTGAGAAGCAGTATTTCTACTGTTTCCATGTTACATAGCTCCCTAAGTCTTTCTTAGGATTTCAAAGTGACTGGGAAGTCACAAAATTAAAGCCAGCTCAGTTATCAGAATGGGATCTAGGGAAATTTCACAATACACCCATGACCCTTCAAACTGCTGATTGTTCCTTTCTCACATGCCTTAAGTCAGACTTAAGTCAGACTCTCCCACTGCTGCCCTGAAACAGAGATGTGCAAGGGTGTATAATATGAACTGATGCTTTTTGCTAAAACTAGACTCTATTCAGTGTAGCATTATTGATGCTACATGGCCTTTTGGGTCCAAGTGCCAAACTGTATTTTTGGCTTAATTTCAAGGACAAAGGACAAACTTAAGCTTGGTGCTGAACACTGAAGTGAGCGATCCCTTATCTCTGCCTTCTCCTGTGTCATCTTTTGTAGGGCCTAATTGACCCACAGATCTGGAAAAATTAACGTTTGCTATTGTGCAGTGAAAAAGGCAAACTGTACTTGTCTACAGCGCAAAGAATGTAAGTAAATATTAATTCCTCCAGTTTTGTGGCTAATCCCTTCCTCATGCACCATCCTCCCTCCAAATTAGAGCTTTTTCTCTGAGGCATCTAGTTGCCTTCTGCTCACCAAGGTCACAATGAGAAACCATGAAAACAAACAGATAGCATCTGGCCTTCATTTTGCACAGCTTGTAGGTATTCTCTCCTTCTTGAGTGTATTCATGGTTTAAGGTTAGAACATTCTCCTGAAATGCATGTCGTTACTGACATTTCCTACAAAATCTTTCTACTTTTCAGTTGGTAAATAATACCAAGTTCCACAGAGCAAGAAAGAAACCAAATCTTCTTTTCTGAAAACCAGATGTAACAAGATAATGCTCTTCACACAGCTTATACAGTAGGGTTTGTTGCTCTTGTTAGACAGTCAAACCCCCTTTGACCCACACCTCCTATGGCTTTGAACAGTAGTCAAAATTAAGCAGAGAGGATTGCTTTCTTTCAGCTCTTGTACCTTTACACACAAATGTTTGCTTACATTCCTCAGGCACTTTGACTGAAAAAGTGGCAATGATGTCTGAGGAAGCTCCTAACATCCTTGCCCACACTGAGTAGTTCCCTAGTTCAAAAGTAAACTTTGCTGAAGTTTTCTGGGATTACTCACAAAGGGTGATACAGCTCAATGTGGGCAAAGCTGCTCACACTTTGTCTTTCATCTCAGGTCTACTTCTCAGAAATTGCCAGTCCTCTTGGAGCACCGTGACTCTTCTGAACAGAGATCACACAGAACAACAGTCTGATTCTTATTTCAGACATTAATTTAAAACTGTGATCCTGTCAAATGTCCTATATATAAGGCCTCTTCCATTTGCCCCAAGCCTTGAAGAGGCTGATATTGCCATTCTCACTCATGCAAAACTCCCACAGAAGAGGGCTGAAGGCCAGCAGCACTGAGTTCCCACCTTAGCTAAGTTGTGCTGTTCGATATTTCAATAACCAACCAATAGTAGTACTGTTCAGAAAATTGGTTTTGAAAATAAAACATTAACTTCTCATTTTAGACTGACAGAAAATTTTCTTCATGGTGAAATGAGCAAATGAATAGTTAAAGATCAGGTGCTTGTTGTTAAAATCAATATGGCTTCACAGTAACATTTCGTTCTTCCACCACAGTAAAGAGTGAGTGTTTCAACCAGCTCATCAGATGTGATCAAAGACACAACTGGATACATTTGAAACATAAAATATCTTCTCTCTTAAGCAATGGCTGCATTGACTATTTTTTCCTGTATATGCTATTAGCCAACTTACAGTGGAAGCACAACCACAGTGCGAGTAGCAGAGCTGATAACTTTTTATGAAAAGTTAACACTGCAGAATATGTTACAAATTCCAGTCTTCAGCTATTACAAGTAATAAGAGAACACTGTAATTAAAAAAATAAATCTGCCCCATTTTACTTCCTTGAAGCGTATTCAGTAGTTACATTAAAAACAATTTTTATAGAAATCCTCTGTATTCACTAATTTAGAGGGAAATGCACTTAGAAGGGGTGTATACTGCACATCTTTATTGATGAATATTACTTTTCATCTAGCTCAGAAGAAATAAGATCCTCTTGAGGCATTGAATCAGATGAGTAACTGTGATGAGAAATAAATTAAAACCACAGAAAATGCCTTGTTTTTAAGTATGCTGCTGCACATAGACGTTCAGTATCTGCATTTGGAAATGCAAAACAAAAATAGAAACATTATTTCCTTTATGTTTATAATGACCACAGCATAATTTTATAGCAAAGAAATTACTTTTAAGGCACATCAGTCATTCCACATATACTTCACCTCCACTAAAATCTGACTGTCAATTAAATTTCATTTCCATAGACTCCTTGAATTCTACAAAGAAAAAAAAAGGGAAAGGATTGTGTTTACAGGCAACAAATCTCATTTCAAAAGCTGTGCAACAGTGAAACTGCTGTGTGTCTGCAGACTGGGAAACCACTCTAAACGAGCATTAAGTGACAAAAGCAGACCTTTATCTTGGTAGGAATGGGTATCTCTAATGAAGCCGTCCAGTAGCTCAGAGGTAGTAGCTATGTAACCATATGTTGCTTTGGTTGCTCTGGCAATTATATAGTTTCTTCAGATTAAACAAACCTGAACTTTTTAGCTACATCGTTACCTACAAATAATATGAGCTTGCTTCAGCTCTTCTTGATGTAACTTTAAAAAGAATTCTCCATTTCGCAAAAGAGAAAATGGCTTGTAATTTCCTCCACTCGGTTGCTATTTTTTCTCATATTTATCTATCTCAGGTACGGATTTGTACGAAACCATTGTTATTTACAAAGGGATGCTCCTGAAAATAAGTCTTAACATCCTTTCTTTAAGTGCAAATGTTTAAACAAAGCTCAAATCTCTTCACAATTCCAAGCCTTATTTTAAGAAAGGATCCAATAAATTACAGACTTGAGACTTTGAAAATGTCTCAGTTGTTTCTTTAGTGAAATCAAGCAAACTTCTAATGCATTTGGTGCAATCACCTAAACCTTACTTCAGCAGAAATCCCACTTGAGTTGGCTCTGAAGTTAAATTGTCTATTGAATTAACACCAGAACCTGAGCCACCGACAGCCTCCTTTTTCCAGGGTTAAGTGAATCAGATGCTTGTTATGAAAAACTGATGAAACAAAGTGACTGCTCTATCATTTCTCCTTATGCCACAGAGATTTCAAGAGCAGAGAGGCTACAGGCACCTTTCAGACAGAAGAGAGGGAGTAAAGAAGGGGATATCTAATGATTCTCAGGTATAGATTCAATTTAGCTGTTTCAAGAAGCCTGCTGTATAGAAGAGATTTCGTTCTATCTTTCAAAGAGCTGTTTACTATGGAAAGGTTCATTTGAGGCAGACAACAAATCCTGCTCCCTGTGGAAGGAGTGACACACATAAAATGGAGCAGTATTTACCCCACAAACAGAATACACACCTTACAGCAGTACAGCTGGAGAGGGGATGTAAATGCTCAGCTGAGTCTCACACTCGGTACGCTTTCAGTGGCGAATGTACAGACACCAGTCCCTGTCTCTCATTCTCTTCTTTACAGTTTATGACATTTTATAAACTCATGGGAAATATTATTGGCTTTAATAACTATTCAAACTTCTCTCTTCTTCTCTCCCCTCAACAAAATCCTCTGAAATCAGAAACTAGTAATAAATAGAGGAAGGGAAAGAAAGCAGCATTAATATTAAAGGTTTGGAACAGCTGCGCCTTCTTTTGAGATTTGTTCGCATACATCACTGACAATCTGCAATGTATGCTTCTCATTAAAAAAATAAATATAAAGGATTTAGTTGCTCTAAGACTGTAAATACGAAGGATTTAAAGATCTTAGTGGTGTGGTGATTGCTCTTCCTCTGAAAATCTGCATAGCAGACTGCCTCCAACTGCCTGTCTGAGAATGAGAGCAGCATGCATCCAGCCCCTGAGATCAGCCTTTTGAGGGGGACCTAAAAAGAGGGAAAGAAAGTTCCCCAGGGCACATACAAGTTGAGCTGGCTGGAAATTCGATTTTTTTCTTTTAACTTAGAAAATGTTAGTTGAGTTCACCAAAATGATTTTTTTTTTTCCCCCACTACCTGCTCCAGGACAGCGAGGTGCTTAGGCTACTGATGTGAGGGGGATGGAGCAGGAATTTACTGCCTGGTGATCCAACACAGGGAAATAAGGTCATAGGGTGCATGTGCTCTTTTTCATATTTCATGAAAACACGCAAGACTCCCAGGTTTGTCCCACTGACAAATAAAAAATCATGGGAAGATAGGAAAAACATTTTCCATCTAGCTCTACGCAAAGACCCCTCCAAAGAAAAAGAAAACCCCATGCTTTCCGTTTGACTTAAGCCCTGTGTAAAATCATCATTCAGAAGGTTTTAACAGTACAAAGGTTTATTTAGAAAAGAGTTTGGATTGTTCTTTAGGGGGTTTTTGGCAAACATTTAAATCCTTTCATAACTCAAAAGACTGTCAGTGCTTGGTACTTTGCACTTTCTTGCCCCACATAAGCAGTAAAAGCCAATTTCTTACTGGGACAAGCCCACCACAGGTCCCAGCTGCTCTATTTATAAATACTCAAATCTCCACCACCACTGCCACTTAATCCTTTCCTCTTGATGTCTCTACTTGTTTTCCCATGAAATTCCAGAACCCGTAAAAGCTCTCTGTCTCCCGAACTCGGTGTCTTAGCCTATTTTCCTCTGCGAACTCCCCATGCCCTCTGTCAGGGTTCAAAGACAATCACTCCCCTCCCCATTTATCCATCCACACTCCAGCACCGCTCCTCCAGCACCATGCCACCATTCTGTACCACAGTGAATGCCCTCAGCCTCCCCGACACTATCTCTGTACCCCGCACCACCATTCTGCACCCCCAAGGGGGCGAGCCCTATTCCTTCTCTCTTAGCCCAAACCCCATGTTCTCTTCCCTCCCTTATTTTTCAGCATAGAGCTTTCTCCTTCTCTTTTAACTCCACTCCTGCTCAAGGCAAATCCATCCCTCCAGCTCAATGCCGGAAGTTCTTCTTCTTCTTCTTAAAGAGAATGTGTTTAAAGGACCTGCGGAAGTCCTGGTTGAAGATGGTGTAGATGACTGGGTTGAGGGAGCTATTGCAATACCCAATCCAGAAGAAGAACTTGAAGAGAGTCTCAGGAACCTCACAGGCCTCCCGGCAAATACCATAGAGGCTGTAGCTGAAGAAGAAAGGGAACCAGCAAACTACAAAGACCCCCATGACCACGGCCAGCACAAAAGTAAAGCGTTTCTCCCGGGCCTGGGTGACTTTCTTACGGCAGATGCTGCTACGCTTCCGGCGACGGCGGTATGAGAAGAACTGCATGGAGCGATTGCTAGAGCGGGACAGACGGCTACTAGAGTGCTTGGAGGAATATGAGTAGGAGAAGGACTGGCTCTTGCTGCTTTTGCGGGGATGCTCCTCCCGGCTCCGCCTCCGTCTACTCTCTGAGGTGCTGCTCTCCTCCAGCTCAATGTCCTCCAGTTCTGAGGTTTTGCGCCAGTGGTGCACTGAGTAATGTCCGTTCTCTCCCAGCTGCATCCTCAGGGACGTGCAGCCCCCAGCAGCACGGCTCAAGCCGTTCTCAGTCTGGGATGACCCCTCTGGCATCGTACGCTTCTCAGAGAGGGTCCTGGTCCTTAGCTTGGCCACACGGTAGATGCGGATATAGACCAACACCATGATGAGGCAGGGGGCAAAGAAAGAGCCAATGCAAGAAGAAAGGATGTACCATGTCTCGTCATTGAGCTTGCACTGGGGAAAGCCGTCTCCTTCAGGGTCCCGGTACATGGAGATCAATGGCGGGAAGGAGATGACAGCTGAAATGAGCCACACAGTGAGGATGATGGCCTTGATCCGCCGGGGGGTCCGTTTAAGGTTGTACTCCACCGCCTGTGTGACCGACCAATACCTGTCGAGGCTGATGGCGCACAGGTGGACGATGGAGGAGGTGCAGAAGAGCACGTCCAGAGCCAGGTAAATGTTACACCAAGCCTTGCCGAAGTACCAGTAATTCATAAGCTCGTTGGCTAAGGAGAAAGGCATGACCAGGGTAGCCACCAGGATGTCCGCGCTGGCCAGGGACACCAGGAAGAGGTTCTGGGCCAATACCTGTCGAGGCTGATGGCGCACAGGTGGACGATGGAGGAGGTGCAGAAGAGCACGTCCAGAGCCAGGTAAATGTTACACCAAGCCTTGCCGAAGTACCAGTAATTCATAAGCTCGTTGGCTAAGGAGAAAGGCATGACCAGGGTAGCCACCAGGATGTCCGCGCTGGCCAGGGACACCAGGAAGAGGTTCTGGGGAGCTCTCAGCGCCCGGCTGGTGAGCACGGCTATTACCACCAGCACGTTGCCCACGATGGTGAAGACGATGAGGAAGCCCACCACCGCCGCCAGGCTGGCCACGGCCGCCGGGGAGTAGGGGGAGGGCGGCTGCCGGAGGGCCGAGGAGGACGGCGAGGAGGGG